CCCCACAGCTGTTAGTTACGTCTGGAACGTTCGATCACACCTTACGGCAGGGAACGTAACGCCGTCCCGGAAGATCCACCCATTAAGCAGTCTTCCTCAAGAGGGCGCTTGAGAAATGTTCTATCGGTGGTGCAGTCGGGACAGAAAAACTAATAAATATTGATACAAATAAACTTTACTGTAATTTAATAGTAATTAAATATTATAAAAACAAACGGCATAGAGTATATATACATATATATTTAAATAATATTTATTCCCAAAACATCTGAGCCGTCAAAGTCCCGCCCATTTCCGGATTCGTCATTTCGCGCCTAGAATTGTAAAAAGAAATCGCGCCAACAGCTCATTTAAATAAAGAAAACCCTTTTGATGAAGTTCGGGTAGGAGAGAAGAAATCAAACTTGGAAAATAAAATATTAGATTTACAGTACATTTAATTAATTGTGTAGATGAGCACTTTGTTAAGAGCACTCATTGAGAAAGTTTATGTCAGAGAAACGAACAAGTCACGTCTAAAATTGATGAAGTGGATGCAAAGAAAAAGGTTACTCCATGCTCAAATGAAATGTAGGCGATGCAAGAAATGCATGAAAATGGTGACGTCTTCTTGTAAAGATGGTTGCATCTGGTAAGTATCTGATTGATTGATTGATTGATTGATTGATTGATTGATTGATTGATTGATTGATTGATTGATTGATTGATTGATTGATTGATTGATTGATTGATTGATTGATTGATTGATTGATTGATTGATTGATTGATTGATTGATCTCTAGTGCCATTTCCTCCATAACTGTCTGCACATTACATTTCTAATTCTGTCCTTTTACTGCAATATTGCATTGCATTGTGTTTAGATTTTCACAGGGTCTCCATATGCGACAGGTGGATATGATGCTAGATGACATCTCAAATAGTAGTGCGACCCTGTCCAAGATGTCCATGAAATTGCGAAGTGTATGTGTGAGAAGTATGCGGAGGCTCAGGAAAAAAAGAGGACAAAAAGTTGGTGGGCTCAACATATGTGTACACATTGATGAAAGCAAGTTTCGCCGCAGACGAAAAGTAAGCCATGAATTCAGAAAACATAAATATTCTCTTCAAATGTGGATGTGTACACTGTAAAATAATCATAATTTTACTAAAAAAAATAACTGTGATTTTTTTCAGTTTGTTTTGTTTTATTTTAAATTGTGGTCAAAACTCTGTAAAATTATCTCTAAATTACTTAAACAACTACTTGGCTGTTCATTTAGGCATTATGACATTAATGACAAATTACACTAATTCACATTTTTTATACAGAAAATGTACTATATTTTTATGCAGTACTTTTTCTGTTTTCTTAAATTACGTACAAATGTATGTAAAATTACAAAAATAATCTGTAATTAATACAATAACAAAAACATTAGAAGATAAAACGGCCAAATGATTGGCAGCAACAGTTGCCAAACAAAAACCATAAACAAAACTAACTATCTTTAGGTTTATCTACAGGCATTTCCTGAATTATTATGATCAAACATCTTCACTGTAAAAATAAATTAATTAATAAATAAAAATAATAATAAAATGTCACATGACTGGCAGCAACAGAACAATAAACACTAACAGATCTCTCCAGATCTCAGCATCTTCACTCAGTTCAATCCCGTCTGACTTTATTGCTTTCACACAAAACTTCGTATTAAGAATTAACAGAGGTTCAGTTTACTGGTGTAATTAGGTTTAGTTGGTCTCTTGACCCTTGACTTTTTAACATCTGTTTTTTCTCTGGCTGCTGTAACTGTGTGTTTCTAAAGCACATTTGTTATAGCAAAAATTGCGAGAGAGAAAATCTGATCAGATGACGTTTTACTTATTGTTGCTTTATAGAAAGACAGTAACTGTGTAATTGCTGATGCAGTGATAGTTTCATTAGCTCACTTGTGTGTGCTGTTGCTAGCTAATGGTTAACTGCAAAAGATTTACAACTTACAGAGAATGTTTCACAATAATAATTCAAGAAATCCTTGTAAAGTAGCAATACTTTTTGTGAAACATTCAAGAAAAAATAGGATATTTTAGCTTAATCTTACAGTTTTTGTTTGGCAGCAGCTTCTACCAGTCATTGACAGTGTTTTTTTGTGTTTTTTTAACGATGTTTAACCATTATTTCCATTAATGGTAAATGTTTGGCAGCCTGTGCTGCCATGCATTTCACCATTTAAAAAAAAAATGTTTACAGTGTAGACAAGACACAATATTGTTATATTGTTCTAATAAAACAAAATTGAGATCTTGTAAATCCTTTTTGTAAGACTAACAACATTTGGATTATCAGTAGGCCTGTCAGTTGACCATTGCTACAGAACGTTTAACAGACAATCTACAGATACTACCCTGATGAGAGTAAGTAGATATGCACTTGCAAAGTAACTTATAGTCAACAGACTATCTATAGGGGGACCATCAAAATAAAGTGTTACCATCCCCGGATGGTCTACTATTTCAGGTCGATTTTTGAAGTGTGGATCCGTGCACACTCTGATGGCTAATATTACCCACAATCCATTGCGCTTTGACGAATGATTCGGTTCAGACTTACAAACACAAATTAATTAATTTTTTTAAAACTACAAACATGGCGGATGTGCGCGACCGACAGTTAAGTAGGGTAGAGAGGTTTAGATAAAGAGTTCAATAAAGGGTTACTAATAATCAACATTTAACTTGTAAAAAAATGTCTTTAATGTTATCTGTGTTAGGATATTTCATCTACAACAACAACAATGTGAATTATTATAAACATCCGCTTGGCCATTAACTGTTAAATGCATCATTATTCAAAAAAAATTAGAGCAGAATTCTATGCATAAAAACTGAACAACAAAATATAAAATTTTCCAGTCAAACTCCACATATTAGAAAACTGAATCAAAAAAGTGAACTGGAAATCCCTATTAATGATTTACTTATAGAGTCAATGCAGAGGAGATATCAGCGGGACGCTAAAAAGAAGAGCAGGATGGAGAAGAAGAGAAGCAGAAGTGACCAGACAGGAGACATGATCCTGATGGCTAAGGAACTTCTTCGGATAATTCGGCAACATGAACGTGTAAATAAACGGTTGATGAAAAGGGTTAAACAATTTATTGAAGTTAATGAGTTTAATTTGAAAATGGAAACTTTGCGAGGCGAGGTTGACTGTTTGAAAATTCAAAAAGCCAGCACCGCCTCCAAAGTATAGACATATAAACAGTTAACTGACATCCTGTCAAAAAGCGAGAGCAGGTGTCGCTATCTGGGTTAACAGTTAACGAATGGAAAATGCTGAGGTGTGAAAACTCGCTCGTATATTTTTGAAAAGGTGTTGTTATTGTCTAGTAAAGAAGATGCGGAATTGTGGTTAAACAAAAAAGGTCAGACATCCTGTGTTAGCATATAGGAGATAAACTCTGTTTGAACTTCTTTGCATATATTTTTGGAGATGCACGTGTGTGTGTATGCTGTGCTTGATGTTATGATGGAATGGTCTCGCAACCCGCTGAAGCAAGGGGTGTGACCAAGTGCTTAGAGTAACTTGCATTTACCCAATAGGGGAGATTTTAGGAGATGCTTTGCAGGAGAGGAAGATTGTATACGCCCTCTCCTATATAATCCAGTGCTTTATGATTTTGCGGGGCCGAAAATCGGGTGAAGACTATACGTTGTTACTTTCTTGATATATGCTTATGAGTTATTGTTTTAATAAAGCAAAACTATTTGAATATGGTGATTCGATAAACTTTATTTTAAACAAGTGTCTGAGTAATTTATTAAGAGTAATTCATTATCTGAATTTCTTCATAAAACTCCAAAGTGAGCTTCATAGTGGTAAGAATTCTGCTGAGCTGATCAGGACATTTTGCTGAGGATCCTGGATCTCATGTTACACTTCCCATCTATATAAGAGGTAAGGGCTTTATTTGTTTATGACAGCTGCTGATGGGGGAAAGATGTAATTATAAGATTATTTGGCTCTTTATATGCGAAGTGATATAACATGGCGCCCAACGTGTGAGGCTCGAATAATGGAGTGGAAAATTCAAGGATAATAGAGAACGTATAGTAACCCAGAAAGTCCTTGCAGATCACGACCACAATAGTAGTTCAAAAGGACTGTTGTCTTTTTCGTGCGCGCAGGCTTAAGTAAAGACCTGAGAAATAAAGACAAAGGACTCAATGAATTCTCGGAGGAGAACGAGTCCTGTTTGAGTGTAAAGCTAAATCAAGAGCGGATTCAAAAGTGAAAGTGAATTATAATGGGGCAAATGATGACGGTCAGCCTCATCGCTCAAGATCTAGCTGGAAGATTAGATTGGATTAATCCCACACAGTGTAGATGTGGTTCTGGTCAAATTCCGTGGCACGAAATAAGGATGATGTCTTCAGTGGTGAATTTCAGGATATGCGAGGGAGCGGAAATCCCACCCTTTATCTATTCGAGTAGAGGGGGAAGGGAGGGATATCCCAAAGGTTTGACGATTTCGAGACAGAAATCAGAAATATACCCACCAGAAGTTGGGATGACCTCGAAGAAGTTGATATGGGGGAAGGATCCGAGCGCAGATCCTTAGCTCCCAATTTTATTCCCCGTAGAGAGGGGAATAGAAGCGCCCTAGATCCAAGTGCTCCACAGCGGGAAAATCCAGAAAGCCCAGATGATGAGTTTTCATCAGAAAATGAGGAACCGCTTAGGATATATTTCGGCAAAGGCAGGAATTTAATTATGCTTAAGGAAGGGCATTTGGAAGTAGAGGAGGAAGCTAGCGTTTTAGTGAACGCGGCCAACACCGAACTCCAGCACGGAGCGGGGGTAGCAGGTGCCTTTCGAAAGCACGCAGGGCAAAGGTTTCAGGATGAATCAGATCGAACAATAGAGCGCAGGAAAAATCCCATAAGGACAGGCGATGCAGTTTTACAGAAAAAAAGGAGGGCCGAATGGGAATCCTGTAATACATGCAATAGGCCATAAGAAAGGACAGAATGGTGACATAGCAGAAGAATTAACAGTGATTCTCACATTGGACACTTTAATAGACAATATATGTAAGTTGGCCAGAGATAATAAATATCGCGCAGTAGCTATGCCCATAATTTCAGGAGGGATTTTTGGATTTAATGAAATCACAATGGGCGCAGCCCTAGTGAACGCGTTACTAAGGAAAACATATCGAACTGACTGGCCTAAAGCATGGATGATCTGTCACCCAGATCCCATAATCCTAGAAAACATAACTACGAGAGTGAATCAGGATCAGGATTCTGGGGAAGGGAGGTTGAACCAGGGAGCTGGTATTATACAGAGACCGACCAGTACCGAGGCCGAGGTGCCAGAGGAAAGGGACCCAGATCCTGAATGGCCAGAGCTGAGGCGAACGAGAACAGCTAGGGGGAGAAAAGACAGGGTAGAAAACACGTTCCCCAGATTAAAGCTGGGAAAGAGTTATGAGACTTTTCGACTAGGAAAAAGCTTCTATAAACCCACGCATGCCGCGAGCAGGAAAAGAGAAAGAGCTTTAGACAGGATACATAAATGGGATGAGGAATATGCCCCAGGAATAACCTGTGGACAAGTTTGGAGCATCTTGAACGGAGGGAATGCAGTTCAGATTTTAGCAGACCCCTCACTAACACAGCGAGGTAAGAGAGCGATATTAGCTCAAAAAGATTTGACAAGCCAGGCCGCATTGGAAAGGATAATTAGAAGCGCGGTCAGTAATGACCTGTTCGAAGAATATTATTCTGATGTGGGACCAGAAAGTGACAGCGCAGACAGTGACTTAGAGGAGAATTGGGAAGATTCAGATTATGAACAGTTAGTGGTTAAAAGAACAGAAAGAAATGTGACACCTATCCCTGTCAGAGCGGCGCGAGCGCCGAGAAGGCTCCGCTTCAGAGACAGAGCTCCGGAGCCAGACATTCAGCCAGAGAGGGAAATTCATCCAGAGAGGGAAATGAATCAACCAGTGGAGTTTGATGCGCTAAATCAGCATTTAGAGGCACTACATTTAAGGACACCAGGTCAGAGAAGGCCAATAACTCCCATAAATCAAGTGCGCTCCCCTAGACAAACAGAGATTAATTCGATGGAATCCAGAGTTACTCTGGAAGAATTAATGAAGAAAGATCAGGAAATGAAGCTTCTGAAAAAGGCCAAGCTGAAAAATACCACAGTGAAAGGAAAAGTCAGAGAGAGCTGGTTCGTTATGGTGAACAGATGAAAATATCTGGCGAATCAATAGACTCACATATTTTAGCCGAGTTTGGACTGCATGGAGGTAGGAAATTAGCGAAGACCCTTGAAGGGTTAATACCTACTAATAAAGAGGAAGTCGAACAGGAAAGATTTGAGGAGAAATGGCGAACAGTAGGCTCTTTAACAGCCTGTCAGGAAATAGCCAGGAAAGGCGTCGAGGGGATCTTGAAACATATATTTCAGGGAGTAAAAAGAAATGCTCTGGTGGGGGCAAAGGAATTTCTCCTTTATGGTCCGGAGACTTCTTCAGAAGAATTAGAGAAGGCCTTAATTCGATTTGACAGGAAAACTGAAATAATTCAGACAGACAGAGAAAAATAGAATAATAAACCACCGCAGCAAAAGGACCTACCCAGGCGGTCAAGCCGTGAGAGAAAGCCATACAATCGCCATGAGCGAGAGACCAGACCCCCCTCCCGCACAGAGCGCAGAGCAGATGAAAAATGGAAAAAAGGGCCAGAGAGGGGAGAGAGAAACAGCCCTAAAAATGCATCGCAGGGAGAAAAGAGATTTAGGGATCAATCGAGGCCTAGAACAAATCGAAATGACAGTAATAGGGAAAAAGGTAATTACATAAGTCCCGAGAAATGGAACAAATTGAGCGCTGAAGAAAGGGCGCGGATCATAGCAGAAAGGGGAAAAAGCAGGCCAGAAACTAAAATAGGCAGAGTCAAAATACAAGACAAGCAGGAAAGAGCCCCTGCAGAGACAGAGGAAGTGCAAGTCAAGAGAAAAAGAAACAAAAAGAGAGATGCTGAGGTTAAGGAGGAATAGCAGGTTTCGGCTCCCCTAAAGAAAGCTCTATTAAGAACGAAAGAAATTAATCAAAGATTATACAAGACATATGATGATACTACTTTTAGGATTGATACAGGAGCTGATCACCGTGTTATTAAACCCACAGAAAAACATGACGAATTTAAAGAAGTAATTACATTAGAGGATTTTGATGGTAATTCGAGAAATAAAGATGGTTGGAGAAAAAAGAAGTAATAAATGTAGTTCTTGGAAGTGAAAATCTCCTTTGTCCGGATGATTTAATCAAAATTGGCAGGATAGGAGTTGTTGATCAAAATAAAGAAATAGAAAGAATAGTAAGCTAATCAGAATTAAGCAATAAAGGGGAGCTGAAAAAAATTCTGAGAAAATATACAAATAGTTATTCAAAAAGCAAGAATGACTGCGGCAAAGTCCAATCTGAATATGAACATGTGATCCAAGGAGGAATTCCCCCTCCCCAGAGGCAATGTAAAATTAACAGCTTAGCAGAAAAGGAAATTGCCGAGACAATTAAGGAGCTGACAGAGCAAGGAATTATCAGGAAGCTGCCAAAAGGCGAATTGGCACCCACTAATGCTCCTTTGCAGGCGGTGCCAAAACCTGATGTTTCCTGGAGATTAGTAACTAATTATAAGGCCTTAAATAAAGTTACAGTCCCTGATAATAGGTATTTAATTAATTGTGGAGAAGTAAGTGCAGAGATAGGCAGAGAGAAAAACTGGCTGTTAAAAATGTACTTAGCTAACGGGTTTTGGAGCATTACTCTGGCGGAGGAGAGTCAATTAAAAACTGCTTTTACTTTTGGAAGTGACCATTATGTATGGACCAGGCTCGCACAAGGGCTGAAGAATGCGCCAAATGAATTAATGATGTAGAAGATTTTAATTAATCAAAATGTAAATTGTCAGGTATAATCGGTGTGAATGTGGCCATTTATGTATTAAGTTATTCTACTATTATAATCATGTGTATTTGCCTGCATGTATAGAAAACTGTATGAGAATGGTATGTGCAGACATATGGTGAAGTACATGATAAGCACATGATGGCACATAATGGGGCCCTTATTTTCACAGAACATCAAATTAAGGCCTCATGACTGCATCGTGATGATCCCATAACAAATATGAATGAAACCTTTAAACAAGCCTAGAGAACGAACAGTATATAAGAGAGTACAGAAAAAGAGTCTGGAGATTGCTCTGGAGAGTTCTCTCAGGTTTTATTGTCTCTGAATATAAAACCTCTTCTGGCATCAAAACTCCAAGACTCTGAGAAAGATTCTTCACAGCAGCGGCGGAAGCCACCACATTGGCAGCAATAAAGAAAATTTTATCAGGAATTCCAGTTACAGTATATATTGATGATATTTTGATATCGTCGACGAATGAGGCAGAACACTTGAGACTGCTAGAACAGACACTAGACAGAATAACAGAGGCTGGTTTAAAACCTAGCCTGAAAAAGATGGAAATTGGAAAACATGAGGTAGATTTCCTAGGATTTAAACTGGGTAAGGACACAAAAGCTCTAACGACGAGCACCAGAGTGAAGCTGGTGGAAATGGAACAGACAGGGCCCCCTCAGTCCAAGAAACAGCTGCAATCGCTGCTAGGAACCCTGAATTATATCAGGGGATTAATACCCAAATATTCTAGGGAGGCAAAAGTTCTCTATCAGGGAACGAAAGAAGGAAAATGGAAATGGACAGAACAAATGGAACACGCCCATTTGAAATTAATCAGAATGGCCCTTAATAGTGGTGCACTCGAGAGGTGTGATGAGACAATTCCCTTACAGGTTGAGGTTTCAGAGAGAGAGGATGAAGTCACCCTAACGCTCTCCAATGAGGGGGGAAGGTGCCCTCTTGCCTTTCTCACACATCAGCAGGAAGCAGCAATGAGGCGTTATCCAGAAAATGGAGCCGAGAGGGTACTGGCTTCTGTGACTAAGCGACTTTTGCAATTGAAAGCAATAGCAAAAGAACAGCCCATAATAATTTTTTCCATGGCAGGAGAGCTCTCCAGGTTAAAGAAAAATCTAGTGATGAACCAGGCTTACATCCACAGTCATCGATTTGACCAGTGGAGCTTGATTCTGAATGATAATCAGCTAGACTGGCGAAGAACGAAGCAGAAAAGGGAAGAAAAAATGACCAGATATCATAAAGACCACAAAAACCTCGCGAAATATTTTACTAATGGTAGTGAAAGAGCAGGGAGAGTATGATGGGGCTATTTAGTCAAACAACACGGACAGCTGATAACCTCGCAGAGTGATGAGATTGAAGGGACAGCCCAGCTAGCAGAGGTGACAGCTGTGGAGCTTCTTAGAATTGACAAGACAGTTGACCCTGAGTGGTCAGCTAAATATCTACAGTGGATCTAAAATATGAATAGTTAATTATAACTAGTTATGGTTAATTATTCATATTTCCCCATGAGCTGATTCGCTACAGCGCACTTCAAAAGGCAGCTTAATTAGGGCATAATGAGATCGTCTTAACCAGCGATTCTGAATATGTCACGGATGGTATCAATAAAGAACTAGATAAATGGAAGGCTAATGATTGGAAAAGCATAGCTGCTCTGTTAGAAAAAGTAACAGCCCACACATATCATCAAGCAAGCCATACATTGCAGGCAACCAAGGCCACTGAGGGTAACAGGCAAATTGATAAAATGATAGGGCGAGTGAAACTTCAGGAAGTAACAGAGTTATTTCAAAAGTTGCATAACGAGTTAAACCATCCGAGTGTAAATATGATACAAGTGGAACTTAGATTAAGGAATCTAAATATCCCGAACTGGCGAACTCGCTATAGGGAAGTAAGGAAGGAATGTCAGGTCTGCAGAAAATTTATGACAGCGAAAGGCTGCGTAGAGAGCGAGCTGCCCAAAGCGTTTCCAGGGCAACAAATAAGCATAGATTTCGCGGGGCCTCTGAGGCCGTGCACGTGCAGAGGAAACTGTTATTTCCTGCTTGCTATTGACAACCATACCAAAGACAACATGGTTTGGCCCATGAGATCCGCACTGGAAGAAAAAGTAGTGGAGTGCTTAAAAGAGTGGATTAAATGGCGCGGGAAGATGGGCAGTATCAGAGCGGACAACGCGCATAATATAAGCGGTAAACTAGTAGAAGATTTCTGTAAGGAGAATAAAATCATACTAGTGAAAAGCATAACCTACAGGCCCGAGACTAACGGGATTGCGGAACGCGCCATTCGTTCTGTAAAGGAATGGTTTGGAAAGAATAAGAACCTCGGAGAATGGGATACGCTTATTGATAAGTGTTTATTGCATCTCAACAGGTGTAATGCAGTGAACTTGAAGGAAAGAGAAATTGCTGAGAATTCGAAGTTTAAAGTCAGAGATGAAGTCATTATTACCAGAAGAAGGAAGGTAGGCAAGTTCTCAGAGGGCTCGGGAGTGATTGATACAAGATGGTGGCACGTCTTTCTGTCTGTGCGTGATTGAGTGGTTGATGTTTGTTTGTTCATGGGATATTTGCCAACTATTCATTTTGTGAACTTTCGTAAAATATAACTATAATATAGAGTCGGAATTCGTCATACTTGATGGTTGTTTTATGATGCTAATCCGTATAGTTTAAATCGAGACTGACATCCTCAGTGAACTGGCACTTCGCTAGTTCTAGCAGTGCATTTTAAAAATGCACAGTATCCGTATAATCCCAGTCTGAACAAGTGGTTACGACCATCAAGCTGGTACGGAAATTTACCTGGAGCTGTGGTTTGCTTTTTCGCCGTTTCTGGGGGATCTGGCTTGAGCTGGCTGGTCGGTGCCCGCTGAGTTTGATGGGTCTGGTCTCTTCATGATGAAGGAAAGTGCTTTTTCTTGTTCTTGCTGCTGGTTTTTTAGATATAGCCTGATGTTTTAGAGGTGGCTGGCCTTGATTTTGAATTTTTTGCCCGCAGCATTGCCTCACTCGCTGGGCTTCCTGTTTACGAGTGACGAAACGCAACATCATCAGTCGCCGCTGAGAAACGGATAACCCGTACTGGATTTTTCCGTCGCTGACCTGGACTTTATCATACCTAGTCTTGTTTTTTCTTTTGGATGCCCGGG